ATATAAACTCGGAATATCATCTTGTCAAAACTAATGTGATCGAACATGTCTTAGTATGATACAATTTTTATGTGCAGGGAAAGTTAGTAAAAACGTGAGCAAATCTACTTTTGTTGAATCTTCTTTGTTGGATAAGTAGTATCAAAGGTTCCTAGTATTAAACTAGATTTTATGACTAATTTATCACGCAAATAATATTAAAATGTTTATCACTTGTCAATGTATTATTTAAAACACAAACAACATCTAACTGATCTTATAACTCTCAACTTTGAGCGATCAAGCATTTAGCCATATACACTTTTACATGTTGTGATTGAAAGTAGCATTGAATGTCAATTCAGATGGATCATCATAATCAGTATAAACATAGCTACGACTAAAAATAGATTCAACAGCATTTAAACCTTTTTCATCCCTTTCGACTTATAGTAGAAGCACACGTCAAAAAAGTTGTCCCAAACGCAACCCAAGGCTAAACATGACGTTGTTACGTAAGGAGTGTCTTCTGGGACCTATCGTCCGTTTTCCTGACATGTAATTTACGCTTCTTTCTTATCTTACAAATGTTTTATACGTTACTTAAATGGGATACAAACTTTATAAAAACTGTAGAAAATTAGGTCATAAGTGTTTACAAAATGTTAGTTCAAATCTAGACAATTGATCGGCTAGTATGAGATTTTGAGGAAAACCTCTCTTATTGTATTTACTTACTTTCACATAACTTTGTAATTAATGTAGTCCACTACCTATTTGAATCCATTGAAATGTATTACTTAACTAGGTAATATTCAATTTGGACCACATGTGAACGAAACAGCGAATAAATCACAGGCTAGATGGTAGAGCTTTTGTACTCAAAAGAAAAAAAAGACCGAACTAATATTTGAATAGTTAAACCTTTAATAATAAAAAACAAATAGGAAATCACTATTTGACTTGTCTTAAAAATTGTTAACACGAGTTTTTATGGTGTATAAAAGTATTTTAAGCTTTAAAGAATCATGCAAACTTGATGTAGCATATACAACAAAGCCATTAGAAGACGGACAAGAAAGGATATACTAGGATAGGAGGAATCTAGACCATCATCGTTATGCCTAATGTATCGTCATGACCATCAAGGGAACATCAATACAGCCTAGTGGAATTTATAAGAACCATTGTCCAGCCTTGAAGTTCCTGTGGATTACTAAATATTATTTTATCAAATTATATTTGTTATTTTTTTTTTTACAAATGAAGCCTTTTCTGGTTATCCATAAATCTTTGAAATGTACATTTTTTCGATGATAATACTTAGCCTCTCTAACTGAAAACGTTTAAGCTATATAAAGCTCACTTTTAAAAAATAATATATTCTACATTCTTGATACAAATCATATATTTAACTTTTTACAAAGCATCCTCCCTTAGGCTAGGTATTTATGGGCTTGCATGACGCAGGCTGATTTATTTTTGTACGTACTTCCAGTCATGGTTACGATTTAACGCTTAAATGTGTGTTTTTGATGTAGTGAAAAACGTTTTTCAGTTGCATAACCTTTGTTAAAAATGTAGCTGTGATATGAACGGTGTTTCGTTTGTATTTTTCATGATAGGATGATAAACTAGAAAGAATGAAAGATGATCATGGTAGGCTAAAACATTCAGGAAAATCACATGTTACTACTGAAGGATAGATGACCAACTCGATAAGCTAATTTTCGTAATTGTTTTAGTGAGTCGTTCTAATTATATTTACTTACTAAAAATACAGATACAAGTGGTTATAGAAGAAGTTTTTATATTATTTATGTATACATATCAATAAGCAAATGATTATAATTAATTAATGATTTAATACAAACAAGACAATCACTTATATCAGTGCAATGCAATTGCTGAAGTATTAATATGCATTACGTTTAATTAAAATTAATTATTCCAACCATACCTCGTTATCCAATTATATTTAGTTAAGCTTGACTTTATCAAATAATCATATACTAATTAAATATGGATTACTTTATTATATCAAAAAATTAAATATTAACAATGTTATTACTTTTCAAAAATCATTACTCATAACTTCTAAGAGAGATTATGCTCTCATTGCCACTGATTGTAATGCAATAACCCATTGTCCCAAACACTTATTAATTTTATAATAAATTTAAATGGCCTTAACAGCTGATAAGTTGACGTTCGAAGCATTACATTTTTACTTCTTTTCTCTCAATCCTTGAACCTTATTGGTAAATCTTGTAATATAAAGTAACAAAACAATGCTGTAAAGTAAGTAAACAATACTGCAAAGTTAATCTTTTTAATTCTAAGAATTAAATTGAAAATCCTAGTTAAAAACTGTCATGGCTGAAAACCATTTTGCTTAAACACGTTGCTTTTGCGTTTCAACAGCTGATTACACGACAAAGACGGAATTGATTATTCAAGTTTAACGAGATAAGTTTCCCGCCAAGAGAGTCACGTGACCTACTGACAAGGCTTGTTAAACTTGAGTTACTTAAGCATGAAGCTCTCTTAGTTCTATAGGTGGTAAAGTAAGGATTAATATTTATCTAATATATAAAATTCTCGTGTCACTGTGTTTGTCTGCAAACTCCTCCGGAACGACTTCACCGATCGTTATGAAATTTGGTGTGTAAATTCTGTAGGTATACGAATCGGACGTAAACTATTTCCCGTTTCGAAATTCTTAAAAGGGCTCCGCCCCAGTGGCTCTGGAGCTTCCCATGTTAACCTTATGAGAAATGGAATTAATGAATCTTAACAGCTGTTTCAATTAAACAAGTTGGTTCTGTTCTATGATGTTCAATAGCATTAAAGTTACAAGGATTACCAACAGGGTGCAGCACTATTATTTCTTTTACATTTATGACAACAGCTAATTTGCAACCAAGAGGTGAGTGAGCGTAGCGAACGAACTTCAACCTGGAGGCGAGTGAGCGTAGTGAACGAGCTAACCTGAAGGCAAGTGAGCGCAGCGAACGAGCTCCAACCTAAAGGTGAGTGAGCGTAGCGAACGAACTTCAACCTGGAGGTGAGTGAGCGTAGCGAACGAGCTAACCTGAAGGCAAGTGAGCGCAGCGAACGAGCTCCAACCTAAAGGTGAGTGAGCGTAGCGAACGAGCTCCAACTCAAAGGTGAGTGAGCGTAGCGAACGAACTTCAACCAGGACGTGATTGAGCGATGCGAACGAGATCATCTTGAAAATTAAACGTAACGGTACTTTCTTTCCATCGGTCTGTCTTAGGGGAAACCTATAACTTAGGCGATACGAAGTTCGCCGGGTCAGCTAGTATATCAATAAAAGGAAGAAAATGAGATTTATCATTTAGTAATGTTTTGTTTTAAGCCAACCCAAAAGATGTAAAATGTAAACAAATGCATAAATGTCTTCCAATATTTCGATCAACCCTATAAAATATGAAAGTAAACGAAACACTTTATAAAGTACTATATTGCTTCCTAACTGAAAATGCATTAAATAAAATGTCTTCATTCCTGTATCCACTCCATATAAACAATATTCATATTAAAATAAACTAACTGCTGATTACCGATATACTAATAAATTAAACAACAAGTTGGAACTTTTAATTTTTGTCCTGTTTTGGGTCCTTGTAAATTCCTGCTGCTTGTAGTAATCTAGTCAAACCGTTAACTGGTTCAAAATCAAATTTTTGTAAACAATAGTCTATATCAGAAAATAAAAAAAACTTTATGCTGCATACATTGAAAAACATAATTTGTAAATGTTTATTCACTTTTTATTTCTTTTTAAGACAGGATAATAGGCAAATTTATTCCTCTATAAGTACTTACATTGTATTTTCATCGTAAGTAATCGATTAAGTTGAAAATTAACGAAAATCAGTTTTGTTCGTTGTATACAGCATACAGTAGCAAACAGGTTAAGTCAATGTTTTGGCAATGACATAGGTTTAATTGTCATCAAACTTAAGTAATACAACAACTGCATCAGGTTAGTACTTAAGTGAGTAAACCGTAGCGTAAATTTTGTATTTATTTTACAGTGTATTAGCCAATATATTTAGAGAAACTTATTTAAGGGGATTGCTGTCAATGTTTCGAAACGAATCAACCATTACTACTTTTAAGAGTTAATTTTAATAGGCCTACGTAAGCTAATATTTCAAATAAACATTTAATAGTCACTAAAAGTTTTAAAATTTGTATCTCATTTTACCTTTTTATTTGAAGGATTGATACAAACTCCTTCGGATGGTTTTGTGCGTTGTTTCATAGATCAATACAGTTAATAAATATTTTGGTTGAATATTAGACAACTATTTGACCGACAAACATAAAAATGGACATTAAGATGCATGTTTATAAGTTTTTTTTCACTCTATCAACCTGAGGAAAAAATACACACAATTATAAGAGACTGATAAAAAATAAATCATAGATGAGTAGTTGGTATAGAATACATTTTATTTAACAAATTGCCATACTTAAATCTATCAATTATCCCACTTAAATATGATATTAATGAACCAATATTAGCCCATCCCTACAACAGGACGACATATAAATTACATTACAATTGCATACCACATAACCCTCTATATTGCAGTAGTTTGCGTTAACTATTAGCATGACACAGATACACAATAATGTGGCAGCCATTGGCTGTAATGGATGGTAGGGTTATTATTTATATGCACCTTCAGTCCAACATAGATTTATAACTATTTACGACAGTGAACGAATTCCGACTGCCCAGATTTAGTTGTAGGACATTTTTTCGACAAGTGATTATTTGAGAATGTTGAAATTTTCGGTTCACTTTGGGTCTTAATCACAACAAGTTAAAAAGAACACTATGTGCCGAATGAACAAGTCAGACATAAATAGGTAATCTAACTTTTAAACATTATCGTGCACCAGGGTCATTCTTTAAGGTATTTATTTTTCTTGTTTGCCCTAAGACGCTAGGGAAGATATCCACAAGGACGACCTCGGCTAAGATGGCAGAACCAGGTGCGAAGAGACATAGGGAAGCTAAGAGCAGAGACAGAATGGATGGAAGACAGAGAGAGGTGACGACTTGTTGGTGAGGCCAAAAACCTACTGAGGTTTGAGTGGCCACATAGGTAAGTAAGGTAACGTAAAACGCTAGGCACGAGCCCGGGATTGTTTTTTCACATTACTTCAGGCTAGAAGTAGGGGTTGTGGCATTATTACTTTGATAAAATCCATTGTTGATTTGGCGAGATTCGAACCTCAGGGACCGAAGTCTCGCGCTCGAACCACTAGACCAGCTCACTACTCAAGGGTCATTTTAGGGAGTGCGATATATCTCAAACTTGGTAATAATACTGGAAAAAATTGGAAAAACCAAAGTCCCTCATTGATTGAAGGACCTACAAAATGGAAAACCAAGGCACTCTTCAACTAATTATATTTACATAAACATTGGGAAATATGTATATTCGAAAATCTGCCCTTAACTATGTCTGACAGTAGTGAATGTAGGCCTATACTAATTCGAATACTATTATTTTAATAATGCGCACCGCGTAGGCCTATACAATAATTATACTAATCCGTACTTAAACGTGTATTATTAAGCACAGCACCGTTGTATTTGTTATTGTATCAAGACTGTAATAATCCGTAACGACATTTATTCCATCCAGTTATGAAATATTGATAATATGTGCAGTATGCAAAATTAATGTACCGTTATGGTAATAACCCTGAACTACGCAATGCTAGTAAGCCGTAACATGTATGACTATAATTGATTTGTTGTGTTGATATTAGATATTTAAAAGTTAAGTAAATTGTTGAATTCACATTTAAAAAAAAAAACTTACTGCTTTCCATGTCACTTTAATTTTTGTACAGCGTTTTAAGTTACTCGATGTGAAAAAAAAAACACTAATCTGAAATAAAATATAGAAAACAAATGATAAATTATAAGATAGATTAAAATACTGGAAACTAATAAGAACCACTAGATTATTCTGATAATTTGACGAGTTTTGAATAAATTAGAAGGTATCACTGACTAAAACATTTTTCTTTTGTAACTTACAAAAGGCCAAGCGGTAAATTATAGCTAAGTCTTTCTTACAGCTAAGGTCTAGCTTGCAAACAACGATTATGTTTTTTGACAAATAAACTCACTTCAATAAAATGTGTAGTGAGAGAAACGTGTATGTGTATATGGTCAATACACCAAAAGTTAACCTAAGAGTAAATTGGTATTGCATTAACATCATAAAACAGAGAATTACATACCAGCTGAATATATTAAACACACCTCAATCCAATAAAGGATCAACAGACGGCTCATACTAAAACTTCGAACTTTATCTTGTTAAACTTGGCTGAATAATCAATTTTCCCCGCGGATTAATAAAGCTGCATATCATAACGGTGCTGAACCCTTCGTTAAATGAACCAGTGTAAGGATATCATACTGAGTTTATTGTTTCATATTCGGCATTATTGATAGAAAGTTCTTATTTAAACATATGTTAAACTAATAGTTCAAGCAAATAAGTCCAAATTAGGAAAAATAGAGGAACAAATCTATGTATTCCCAATTTTTTTAAAAATGTGTCGGGGAGGGTCCCCTAATGAATATATGATAGGTGAGAATAAAATCACCCTGCCGCTCTCTGGTGGTGGGAGGTGTAAATGCCCCAATTTGCGGTTTTTTGCTTATAACCTGAAAACGGCGTATTGTAGCTTAAATTGTTTAATGTAAAAGTTAAAGCTTATTAAATTTGCTACAACTTTGATCGCATACATTATTAATGAAAGACGCATAGTTTCTGAGATATCCGCACTCAAAAAAAAAAAAAAAAAAATTATGTTCGAAAAAAGATTTTCACCTCACATTTTTTGTTAAAATCTTATTTTTTCTCCATCCTTGTTATTTTTCAGAAATATTGACGGAAAGAAGGTTGTAGAGAATTAAATTTACTTCAATAATATATACAAATATGTAAATAGATAAGATGTAGGTATAAAGTTACATCGTTTTTAAGATTAAAAGAGAAAATCACGAATTACACAAATAGTCGCCAAGTTTTGATTTTATTTATTGCACAATTTGTATGGTTTCTGAAAATTTGTTAGATAAAATATAAGTATATTTAAGTTAAAAATTGGTAATAGTTAGGTAAATTTAACGTAATAAAGAGGTTATCTATTTATTACGATGATCCAAGCTAAAACAATTAAAACATACAAAATAAATTCATATTTAATTATTGAATTAATGTTGACTGAGCCTTTGTTCTTGCAAGAACAAAGACTAAGGTAACATTAGTTCTATAATTGAATATTCTAGTTCTTGCCACTGAAAATACATCACAAATTCATGTTATGATAAAGATTGATCTCTGTTTCATAGAACAGTATTAACATCCTTTTTCATTGTCTTCTTCCTCATCATCTTCACATATAGTCAATGATTGTACAGAGACTAGTCTTGTTTTTCTTGTCGGAAAGAAAGTTCTCTTGCTTTATTCAACCCCACGGAAAATTTCGTACTTGATTTTTGCAAATGTACTTAAGATTAGCAGATATGTAGTCTAACCAAAACTTTGATGATGGAGATGTCCTCGATAGTGATTATCAGTTCCAGATGACACTAGGTTCAGGGACAGAAGTTGGACCCTCTCGTCCAAAAGGAGTCAGACCATGGACATTATAGTATTAAATCTTTGTTTCGGTAACTGTTGGTATAAATAAAACTGTTGTGATTTGAATTTTGGTTCTAGTTTACAGAATCATTTTCATTATCCGCATTTTCCCTCCTCCCCTTTTAAACAGTAATCAGGTTACAAACCATATTTTCAGGTAACTATTAGACTAATGTTGATTTCCCTAACAGGAGAGGATTACATTTCTTATTGTACCATTTTATATCTTAAATATACTTATGTTTGGCCTAAATAATTATAAGAAACCATACAAATCATGCAATGAAAAGAAAAAAACAAGACTTGTTAATTATTTGTGTATATCACGATTAACTCTTTAATCTTAAACACGCTGTAACTTTTACCTAAATCTTCCTACTTACATATTTGTATATATTATAGAAGTAAATTTAATTCTCTACAACCTTCTTCCCGTTAATATTTCTAAAAAATAACAAGGAAGGAGAAAAATTAAGATTTTAACGGAAAATGTGAGGTGAAAATCTTTTTTCGAACAAGGTATTTTTTTGAGCGTGGATATCTCAGAAATTATGCCTCTTACACTAATAATGTATATGATCAAAGGTGTAGCAAATTTAATAAGCTTTAACTTTTACATTGAACAATTTAAGCTACGACACGCCGTCCGCAAGTTGGGGCATTTACACCACCCACTACTAGAGAGTGGCAGGGTGATTTTATTCTCACCTATCATATATTCATTAGGGGACCCTCCCAGACACATTTTTGAAAAAAATGGGAATACATAGATTTGTCCCTCTATGTTTCCTAATTTTCTTGGGCTATAAAAAAAATATTAAATGAATTTTTATAGGATAATACCTTCAATAAAATAAAAACTATTTAATTTATTATGTTCCTACGCACAACTAACTGTTCATTTTAAATGTTTGTTGTTGTCCGTGTTATAAACAATGGTAGGTTTAGATGATAAAAAAACGATACCTTAGCATGTCGAAGGTTAAGATATAATGAAAAACAACAGATAGATGGATTCAGCATAGACTATGCTGAATCAAAAGCTAACTACAATTGAGAGACACAACAACTCTTTCTGAATGTATAAACATTTCTTAAGTGGTATTGGAATTTAAGTTGCTATGAAGAAACTGTTAAGTCTTTGGCAAAAAAATATATTTTCAAAAACTATATAGTCAATTTTTATTTTTGCAATATTTATAACCGCTGTAAAAATAATTGCTTAACACGACAAGAAGATGTACAAATACTATACAAAACACTTTTTCGGACACATGAATCTCTATCGTAATACCTTATAAAATGAACTCTGTTGTGGAAAATGAAAAACCTTATATTTTTCCTTCACAAATCCATAGGCAAGCATGTTTCTTTAAACCCTTTTCTCAGCTGGCGTGCATCGCTGGGAAAATCGGCCCCCCGGAAAACTACCCCCCAAGCAGGTTCCTACGTAATATTGACGTCAGAGACCGGGGGGGCAGTTTTCCAGTCACGGACACTCAAATTTAGTTGTCAAACAGTTCTAACCTAACCTAACCTAACCTAACCAACCAAACTTGCTGTAACATTTCGAAAATCTGTTTTATATTTACCACATACCTTTTCTATTATCCAACGCAATTACTCGAATTAAAATTAAAATTACATAGCATGATTTGTCTAGGGGGGGGGGGTAGTATTTCAGTCGTGGACACGGCTTCCATATTGGTTAGTTAGCAGGCAGATTTGTGACGTCACGTTTCACCTGGGGGGGGGGGGTAGTTTTCCGGAGGATAGTATTCCGCATCCCCGGAAAATCTACGCATACTGTTGGAAAGTTATTCATTTTCCTATAGATATGCAGAAGCCCTATAAATTAAAATAGGTTAAAAAAATTACCACAAAAAATGGATTTAAAATATTTTAAAAACATAGACCTTATGGGTTGCCATGCTAGTGACGAAATAACAACTAAATATACACAGAAAATCAAAACAAATGGAAGAAATTCATATCATGTGTTTAATTTACAGTGTGGGGTAATAATAGAGAATTCTGTACACATATTTTTGGTCGAGTTTTCGACCGTTGGGCGACCTCTAGTATAAATATAATCATTAAGAACTAAGACAGTAAATAAGTAAGAATTCACGTTAAACCTAAGCTACAGATGTAATTTGTAACGTACAGATCCCTTTAAGCTGATATTTATCACTTAGAGAGAGTTAAGTGAGTTTGATGTGATAACAAATGTTTATTGTCAAGACTTTAAAGCAACACCTTATTACAAAGACAACGTTTAATACACATTGAGATTAAGCTCAGTGTACCTGAAATGATAGACTTCACACAACTGGTGAAGTCACACATTCCTGTAGAAAAATATTCGAAACAATTGTTTATTGTTTAAGAACATGAAAACATTTTAATTCACAATGCTCTGTTAATGTTGGAAATCCAAACTGACTATAAGCTTGATAATATTAAACGTTTAATACATTTCTACAAACCTATTTTCACATTTGCATCTTCAAGAATCGAAAAATGTTCAACTTTTGGATATTTGATAAATGAACCGCATTCCAATGCTTTTACAGTGAGTACGTTTTCATGGGGTATATCACACACAATAACTTATGAATGGACATGTCGTCGATTTACTAGTGTTGCTTGAATCATATTCATATTGAAAGAATACCTTTTAGGGACAAAACATTTACTTTTCACATAAACATAGAACCGATCATGTGAACGTACTACTGTAAATAATACTCATACCATTACAAACGTATGTATAGATTATACTATATATTATACGACCGACAAAGTATTTTAATGGGAAGAGTAATATATTTTATGAATACAACACATTTATTGTAAAAAAAGTTTTGCTGGTTCTATCGAGTGCTTGTAATGAATCGTATTAAAAAAACAACTAATACAGCTTGAAAATTGTTTAACTGTATAGACATTACATTCTAACATTATCTCACATTACTACATTATATACATTACATTATATACGTCTTTATGTTCATCGCTTCATCGACAAAACGTAGATTAATAATCAAATTAACAATGAACACTATCACGTGATTAATCCCTTTAACATCCATTAATATAATCTTGATATTATTGTTACTAAACTCTGCTTAGTATAATGCATAAAATAATATTTGTTCATGTTATGTGTTCATTTGTTATAAGTGGTTTCGGATATAAGTACACTCAATATGAAATTGATAATGCTTGGAAGAAAATGATTAAGAGGGAAACGTTTTTTAAGCCTCTAGAAAAGCAAAGAGGATGTTGGCCCACAAACACCATTCCATACACCATATTGGATGGGTTCAGTAAGTACGTTGGTCAAATAAGTGTCAAGTGTTTTAAAGGTAAATACAAATTTTTAAAGAAACATGGTTGCCTATTAACATATAGATTTGTAATCAAAGAGAACTACCTTTAAATCGATCTAATGACATATTCATGATTTTTAAAGATTTTTTATTAAACATATTTTTTACAAAACAAAGTTACAAATACAAGGTATTACAAAGTATTTCTAAATTAACATATAAATAAAATCTTACAGTTAAAACTACATTAAATCGTTTATTATGACAAAACAAAAATACATTTCAAACAAATAAGAAAAATGTGTGGTTAGGTATCTCATGAAATTAATAGCGTTGAGATACCATCTCGCACAAAGACAGTAAGTGCTGCCACTCCCTGACTAACATAATATGACTATTATACAAAACAATAACGTTTTATTGATATATATATATAAATTAAGGTGTTATTGATTGAATTTTAAGAAAACAAATTTGAGTGCTTTGTAATACTCGCTAAATATTTAAATAAAAAAAAACAGCTCATAAGGGTACCTGATTAGTTAACAAAACTTAAAACTTGAGTAAAATTACAAAAACAAAACTCCACATCCTCATGAGAAAAGAGCCATATTCTTAAATCAGTTAAAGATTTATTTAAACAATTACAAAGGGTTAATTTGAGTGACAATATATTATAAAAATTGTAACTAACAAAAAGTAAAAAATCTACGATAAGCTTCGTTAGTTGCTTTTAATAGGAGGCCTAAAACTCGACTTTGCAACCTAAGTCTATTGGAATAAATATTTATATTGCCACATGTATGACCACCTCTTATAAAAAATATCCTTAGAACCTTATATACATACAAATATCTTAAAGGTAAAATATCTAATTGCTTAAAATATAAAAATGTGTGGTCAGTTCTACTAAGTCCAATTATTATTCTGACAACTTTCTTTTGAGCTACTAATAATGAATTAATATTTGAAAAACAGCTTCCACCCCAACAAGTAATACCGTACTGAAAGGCAAGGATATGTCAAAAGATTTGAGATATCGGTCACACAAATAAACCAATAGTATTGTTTGTATATATTTAAATACTTTTAAAATGTAGGAATTTTAAACATTTATATTCTTTTTACGAACAAAATCGGCAAATAACTTACGTAATTTGACTTTCAAAAGCTAAATAATTTTTATTTGTATCAGTTGAGGTACTAGTACAGCTTACAATCGTAAATGGTATATCTAAATGAGCACTTATTGTCCATACTGTTGATTTAGGTAATGTTAACTAACAGAGAGTCTTACCAAAACATTTTAAAGCGATTTTACTTTTAAGTGCATTTTTGTTTATATTGTTACAGGGAAGTAAAATACTTCAATACTTTACTATGACATGGTGACCATAGGAATGTAGGTATTTTAAGTCAAGTATGAATGGATATTAGTATAGGATGAGTGGCAGAGGAAATACTCAATGCTAACTGGTGGACTATCCCTAGTCGTTGGTGTCTATATGGCAAAGTCCAACACCCTCATGTACTAAACGCCATGGAGGAAGACCTCATGCTCTGTGCGATAGGAATTTCCGCACAATACTCGCCGCTCGGGCTCTTCCTTGTTCGTAACAAGTATATTTCCGAACAACATACTAGAGCCGAAAGCTCACGTCATCCCACAAACGAGTTTTCCATGTAGATTCTATAATTCTTTGTGGCTATGTTTTGAAACCTGTTAAAAATGCATTACAGTAAACTATTATAATGTATTAACTTGTAATAACTTACGTAATCCCGTCACAGTTCAATAAAATATGTTAATTCAGGACATGTTTCGATGTTAAAACACCATCGTCAGCTTCAGGTACATATGTAGAGTTGATCAGTAGTTAACATCGTCAGAAGACTCTGTCCCTTGCTACCTGTGCGGTCGGTTATATTTTGTTAGAACATGCCTGTTTCTTAAATTTTTAATTGTTTTATGTATTTATTCGTGCCATTTCGTACTGTGTTTATCTACGATGTTAACTACTGATTAACTCTACTTATGTACCTGAATTGACATATTTTATCAAGCAGTGACAGGATCACGAAGTAATTTATTCTCACATTATGTCCAACAGCTCAGGGTCACACATGGAATTTAATTGAAAATATGATAGGAAAATATTTTGCATGATAGGAAAACATCATAGTAAAAGGCTAGCACTTTGAATCGTGTTTCTTTAAAAAGTATTTTAATCAAATGCACTTTATTACCTAAATTTAATGTTATTTTTCAGCTCATGCTCAGATTGAACATATAATAAGACACATAAATCAAATACAACAGAAAACATGTCTACGGTGGGTAGAGAAGAAACTTCTAAAAGGTGTGCGGAAATCAGTGGAGTTTGTCCACACTAAGAAGGACTCTCTGGACTGTTATACAAGGGAGGTGGGTGATGCCAAATCAGAGATAAGATCTATAATAACTCTGGGGGATGATTGCTTCCCTAGGGAGTCAGTTATACATGAGATGTTGCATGCGTTGGGGTTTCTGCATGAGCACCAGAGGATAGATAGAGACTGTTACGTCATAGTTAAAGAAAAATGTGAGTACATGAGATAATACAGGTGAGTTGATGAGGTTAGTACCATTAGTTTTTCAATGTGAAAGGAATTAAAACTTAATTTCGTTATTTTGGGAAGCATGTTAATGTTTTATATCAGGGAGGTTCACTAGTTTTTAATACAAACTCCGTGATAGTTATGCTTTGAAGTTTTTGACTCAAATTCCACTATCTACAAATAAAAATTGGCCATTAGAGAAAACTAAAGACCACTTTAGCTTCAGGTCTACCCTTTTAGAAAATAATAAAGCTTGAAAAAATCATAGAGAAATAAATATTCACCACAAAAATACCTGTAAATGATATATTGCCTTTATACTCAAAAAGTTTTGAATGGATTATTTGATAAAATTACTGTTCTCTTATTTTTTGGGGGGAATTTTTACCATAATCAGTGTTTGTTGTAGTTGTTTGATCATAATGGACATCATCATCTGGAACTCTTTGCAGATTTGTCTTTGGGAGAACAAACTCCATCAACTGTACTTTACAAAATTTTTCCCATAAAAAGGAAATATTTGCTACCTCCTCAGTAATATCACAACAAATTGTTTAGAAGGAAAAAATCACAACACAACGTAAGCAGGTATTCTCACAAAATAAATTAAAGCAATCATTTCCCGAACACAAAGATTCATAATTTTGCTCTGACCACGGAACCCAATATTCTATCAACATTCCACTCGTTGAATACAAGAATTCTTCAACACGCAAATAGTACGTAATGTGAATTTTAATTGAAAATGAATGCTACAGATGCAAAATCGGATTTGGATTTCAAAATCGTCTACGACGACGATGTGTTTGAGAAATGGCCTTACGACAAACGCAGCATAACACACTACACTCGTTTGAGCTACGCGCTTAGGGATAAAGATGAGGTAACAAATCTTGTTCATATAGTTATCCTATTGACATTTGGAAACTGAAGTAGATATCTCAATTACCTGGATCAGCTGTTTTTGATTTTGAATATTAATGGCACATTGTTGAACGAACCACTCACAAAAAGTTTAATTACGACAGTTGTTCAATTACTACTCTTAACTTCTAATAGGGGTTATTTACAGCTTCTCATTGCTACTGACAGTGATGCAATGAATCATTGTAGCAGACACCAATTAACACTAGTCATTAAATTTGTTTTTTTACATTGTTGCACTATCCATAACAATTAAATTGGTCTTAACAGCTGATTAGTTACAGTTCAAAACATTAAAATTTTACTCCTTTCTCTCAATTCTTCAACCTCATTGGTACGTTCTTCGTGTTCTAAAGTAAAAAATTGCTGTTGGAAAGGTAAACAATGCGATTAAGTCAATGTTTTCGATTCTAAGAACTGGACTGAAACTGCTAGCTGAAAACGTAGTCGTATGTAAAATAGCATATAGTCTATAAAATATAATATCCTATAACAACTCGGATTTCTAATTTGACGCCCTTAAAACATGTGATCATTCGAAAGTAGTTTTGTTACTTCGTCTCCCAAAGTTTAAATTGTTCAAAATTCGTTGCAATGGATGCTGTTGCTGGGAATTGAGATTAAACAGACGTTGTACTTCTGTTGCTGCATACCAAACAGTAAAAACAAAGTTATTCTACACAGTCAAACTTAGTGAGGGAATCAAAGCTGTATCCTATTCGATATTTTACTGGTACCAGTAAATTGGGGTTTACAGGTATTGAAACACAAATATAACGGTAATTATGGATCAGATGAAGAAAATCTTATTGTTAGTTCTGTCCGGTGCACTATGGATGTCGGATTTTGTTTACAACTGGTTTTTTGTCATTGAAAACCTCGTTTAACCAAATTAAACTATATAATCATAAAAATTACTTGCACCCTGATAACCAAACAGTAAAGCACAAATAATGAAATTAACCCTAAAATAATAGAAAAAGATTATGTCGACACTAGCGAGCTTAAAAATTTACAGTGGGATAAGAAGTCTACTTTCGTTGGTTAGTCTATGATGTGTATTGATTACTATGATGAGGATATTATTAAGGCATTAAACTATCAACCTTATACATTTGATTTTTTGTAGCCGTTCGGTGGGCTCTTCTTTCAATACCGACTAGGGGACTCCTTTGGAAGTTGGGGCCAGATCGGACACAGGACAGGCCTCCTGACATGTCTGGACGTGCACAAGATCAAGTATCGCTACTGCGGAGCTCCAGACTTCTGTGACATACAACCGAAAATGTGTAAGGACACTGAAGAAGAAGAAGTGAAGTCGGGATGCAAGGAGCTTTATGTAGACATAGCCAAAAACAAGGTCAAACCGAACCCCACGTAAAGGGTGGCTGTTCTGTACCCGTGGTTGTTATAATTGACTATTATCAATTATTTAAGATGGATTATATAATAATAAGGATATGATCAATTATTAAATTATTATTGGTTTCTGAAGTAGGCATCTGTATGAACCAGCTCTTACAAGTTGTTTTGTTAGCAAAAGAAGTTGTGCGTGCCACTTATAGAATGCGCTAGTGTATAAAATTCCATTTTCTACCTTATTATTGGTTGTTGATGGGTCATTTGCTTAAGCTCACAATAAGGAATTCCATTCGTTTGAAATGGTAGAAAATTTCACGTATTTCAAATAAATCAGTAATTTTCATCAGCATAATCCGTTGGTGGCTCTAATCAACTACGATAATTTAGATTTTAAAATTTACGACAACTATTACATGGGGCTGAGATGTCCCGTTGCATCATTAGTAAAAGTTGTTAGCTTGGCGTATCATGGGGTATTTACAGTGTAGTTGGTAGGCTTTTGATAGGTAAAATAAACATAATATACAATTTACGAGAAATGTAGCTTTACTTACCTTTTCTCCGTATTGTTTTTAAAACAATCAAACCTAAAATATTGATTGCATATATTAAAAGTCAATATGTTTAGTAAGCTGTTATAAATTAGGATTCAATGTATTGTAATATCTAAGAATAATAAAATTGAATGCATCTAGTAAACATTGAATATTATTAAGTGCCCTAACCTTTGACAGTTTTATATGACAAATAACTTGAAAACGTCTTTGAGAAAAATAAATTATATACTTAGTTTTTATATTTTTTAATAACACGTTCTTTAATAATTTAGTGTATTGGAGCTTTGTTGTACACTTATTGGTACGGGGGTGAATAAAAAAACGGCAAATTAAATATTCCAATTAAACTTTTTAGGATAATAAGTAAACTACTGTATTTTTCTTGTTTATAGATTTTTAAAAGTAGCAAATGTATTTATTTTATACTAAGCATAATTGCAAAACATAGTACAATTCCCGTTCTTGTAGCAACAAAACTAAGTGCTTGGCAATAGAATGTTCTTTTTAAATACTGATTGAAATGCCAATAGGGCAAATAACGCTTAGTCCGCAGGTTTGCTGCAGTGGGGGGGGAGGTGCTAAATAAATAAATATAATATTCATTTTATTAAGATAGGGGTAATCTTAATAATTATCTTAATTTATAATTAGGGGGGCCTTGGGAATAATTATTTGACATTGCAGAGTAACGTCAGGAACTTTAAGCATGCAAAATTCAAATTTCCATAGTAAAAATAACATATAAAGATCAACGTCTCATAGAGAGCTCTGAGTTGCTTACTTCATTAAATGAAACATGTGGTCTTGACTAGCAGCCAAATCTATTAAATTAATCAAATACGACCCTATGTGTGACACAGATTTACCCTTGAGTATAGTAGCTATTTAAAGCCTTGATTCATGGTTTTCACACAGAATTCATTTTTTTCTGTCCCACTTTTAAATCTGGTAAATTTAAGATAAATTGCGAGTTTAATTTTTATTTATTTATATTTTATCCAATCAAAAACATCAACTAATTATTACTAGCTTATATTTTAAGAGTTTTGATCCTCTTTGTAGCGTATTAATTTCATCAAAAACTTTAGAGGCAAAAACAAGAAAACTAAACCGTTTTATAATGTCTGACCGATTACATCCAATAGTAAACAAAACTTACGAAATATCTAAAGTTTTGTTTAAAGTTTAAAAAATACTTTTGCCTTTTAATTGCAACAGCATTTAAATTCCACAATTAAAAATTTTCTTAAAGCTCAGTTATTTAAATACATACTTTGTGCTTAACATTTTATTATTACTGTATAGTCCATCATACAAGCCACAGAACGCAAATAAAGAACATATCATACATATTTAGTTATAAGTAACCTCTGGTCATGTAATTTGAATTCGTGTGTTATTCAGGCTTCTTATCTTGATCCTACATAATGGGTATTTTGGTACATAATTTGTCGAGCTTTGGTAACGAAGTAGGCTAACTATTCTTTTATTGAAAATCAGTCCAAACCTTAAAGGTCTGTAAACTTGCTTGAAAACTATTCATTGGTCACCATGAAAAGGAGCGAACTAGTTCTTGAAGGAATTTATCTCCTTAGTTGTAGGATTTTAAATTATTATAATCTAGTAAATCAACTAAACGGTGTAAACATTTTAACCAACCATAAACTTATGTATTGAATCAGTAATGTTCATAGTATTTAATTATTTTGTGTTTTACATTTAGTACGGGTGCTAAAGCGTTAATTTTAACTAACAGTTCTCTCAAAGCTGCTATTTATCATTTAGAGAACTAAGTAAGTTTGTTGTGATAACAAATGTTCATTACGCAGACTTTGCAAGAAACGTCTCATTTTCACTAAAACGTAAACAATACAATGAGTGCATAACCTTTCATTTTTACTATATTTCTCAGTGTATGTACTGAAATGAATTGTATTGACGTAGCTGTGTAGTTGTATAAACTTGGAACGTAGTTAATTGCAATAGTATTTGTGTAGGTAGTGTGCAAAGTGGTACTTTGCTGCACACGAGAGTAAAGTTTACTATTAAGTTTATCTTTAAGTTACTACTAAGTTTCTTGAGTGCAGCAAAGACACGTTGTACTTCCGTCTCACATTATATTTTTCCTACAACTAATATAAAGCATTAAATAATTAGTCTTTCAAACACTATACAAAACGATTTTTAGGTTAGGTTAAATCTAACGACATGGGAAACGCTGCACCAGCTGATTGTAGTCATAGTGTCTTATGTTGTCAACCTATTTTCAAGCGTACACGCATTATGTGCCATATAAAAGCACGATGTTTTGTGTTGTTTGTTTAAAATACTGTAGTGTGGAAAAAGCAGTGCAGCAAAAAAAGAGCGGAAAAAGTAAGTAAATGAAGAAATTAGCTACTTTGCGTCCTACAAACAGTGCAAGGAAGTCCACTTTGTCAAAAACACGTAACTATAGGAAAATTATTCCACGCATTATAAAACTTACAAAGCAATTTAATGTGAAGAGTGTAAATCCAATTTGGTGTAAATCCAATCAGGTAAATGGAAATTCGCTAATCTGCAGGTTTGCTGCGGTGGGGGTATATATTTTATGAATACAACTAACACATGAATTGTAAAAAAAGATTTACGCTGGTTCTATTAATTTCTCGTAATGACCCGTATTCACTATACAGTTAAAGAATAGTTTAACCGTATAGACAATAATATTTCAAACCTCATCTCCCATTGCTATATAAGTCTTTATGTTCATCGCTCCGTCGACAAAATGTAGATTAATAACAAAAGCAATGAACACAGCTATCGCGTAATTTGTCCATTTAAAAATCATAAGTTTTTGTTCTTGATATTAGTGTCACTAAACTTTGCTTAGTATAATGCATAATATATTATTTGTTCATGTTATGTGTTCATTTTTTATAAACAGTTTCGGTTATTCGCCTAAGTACACTCAAACTGAATTTGATAATGCTTGGAAGAAAATGACGACGAGGGATAAGTTTTATAAGCCTCTGCAAAAGCAAATGGGATGTTGGCCCAAAAACACGATTACATACAGCATTCATTATGGGTTCAGTAAGTACGTTGGTCACATAAGTGCGAAAAACAAAGTTTTAAGAAAAAATTAGGGTTTACTCAAATATAATAATGAAGTGTTTTCGACAAATGTGTGTTGTATACATTTTAGCAAATATCTTACTTACAATGGAGTATGAACTATTTTATTTTTATTTTTTATTTTATTTATTTTTTATAATAGAATAATTAAAACGCATAAGCTTTTTACTTAAATTTAAATTTGGTTGTTGCCCAAAAAATAATTCAAACTTAATTATGTTTACTAATTGTGATTGTGTGATTTAAGTATAATAACCGGTCAACATAAACGGTGGGGTAAGACTTTTTTGCCCTGTGTGATTTGAATTGCACACTGCTCGCTATTCGGCTTCTTCTTTGTTCGCAACAAGAATATTTCCGAACAACAGACTGGAGCTGAAAGCTCACGGTCAACCCATAATCATGTTGTACCCTTGCATTATGTTTAGACTATGTTTTGGGAACTGCATTACAGTAAGCTAGTAGGAAATCATCATGGTAAAAAGGCTAGACCTTTAAATCGAGTTTCTTTAAAAAATATTAAACAAATGCACTTTTTTCCTACAGTTAAAATTCTTTTTCAGCTTATGGTCAGTATAATCATATATTAAACCACATAAATCAAATACAGAACAAAACATGTCTACGGTGGGTAGAGAAAAACCCGTACGCTGAAGGTCTGCGGAAATCATTGGAGTTTGCCTACTCTAAAAAGGTCACTGACTGTTATACAAGGGAGGTGGGTGATGAAAAAGCAAAAAAAAGGGATAATATCCATAATAACCCTGGGGGATGAATGCTTCGATAGGGAGTCAGTTATACATGAGATGATGCATGCGTTGGGGTTCCTACATGAACACCAGAGGATAGATAGGGACTGTTACGTCAAAGTTGAGGATAAATGTGAGTATATGAGTCAATTCAGGTAGGTTGATATGGTTAGTACCATTAATGTCTTGAAATATGAACGAAAAGAAATATAATTTTGTAGTATGTTAAGTATGTTAAATAATTTTTATTTTGGGGTTTCGTTAGTTTCGTATGAATACAGCGTCTCAGTTATGCTTTTATATAAATCTCAATAACAAAAAATATAAATTCTTAAAAAATTTTAAATTTCCTAGAAAGTTATAGAATTTATATGAACGGCTATAAATTATTTTGTTATCATCTTCCCGAAAAGGGCTTTGGTAGATTATTTGGGGTAAAAGGCTGCTAATTTACTTTTATAAGGAATATTCTACGAGATTTTGTGATTGTTGAAGATGTTTGATCATAAAAAAAAGTTTTTTTGGAACTCTATACATCTTCTTCTTTGGGTGAACATAGTTTGTGAAATGTACGTCATAATAATTTCTCAAAAAAGGAACATTTTTGAAACATCTACAGAACATCTATTATCTATTATCTATTTTATAATATATTATAAATCTTACAGTTTGTGAGTTTGTGCTTTTGAGTGTGTGTGTTGCTCAATCACGCATAAACTACTGGATGGATTGGGCTGAAATTTGACATGATATCTTATAATCCCAATTAACATCTATTATAGGCATATTCTTATCTCAAAAATCCTTTTGGGTTTAAATCAGTGGCTCTGTAGTTCCCCATGTTAACCTTATGAGTGTTAATATTTAATGGAAATAAAAGAATTTAGTCAGCTGTTTAAACTAAAAAAGTTGGTTCTATCATTATTAATAGGCAAAGGTTCTATGCTATGCAAAATCATTAAAAGCCATACAATTTACCAACAGCGTGCAGCACTATAGTTTGTTTTTGCATTATGCAAACAGCTAATTTAAACAGCAACAAAAACTGTGATATGCAATGAGAAATTTTAAAGTAGGATTGTTTACAGTTATATTTATGTTTTTAACTTCATGAATAATTTGTAATATTTTGCCAATGTTTAATAAATTAATTTTTCTCTATTGTTAAGGTGAAGTGGTAGAACATTATGGCTATGGTAGATGTGTAATACTATAGAATACCGAAATTAAAAAGAAGCAAATGTTATCAAAATGTGTTCTGCTACCATATTTTAAACGCAAAGCTTGAGTATAACTGCTATAAGCATTTTATAATTATATGCCAACGCCGTACGAAGGGCGGGTACTCTGCTTGTATCATATAATTTTGTTAAGAAACAATATAAAACATTATTACGACAAATAAATACAACGCTATGTTGGAAGGTATTCTCACAGATTGATAGACGAAAAAGTTCTATAATTCTGCTCTGACCACGGAAGCCTATGTTCCAGTAATATTCGACTCGTAAGCGTACAATTCACAATGCCTTCAAGAACACAAATAGAAGGTTATTTAAATGTTAATTGTAAATGTATGCTGCAGATGCACAATCAGATTTGGAATTCAAAATCGTCTACGACGACAGTACTTTTGAGAAATGGCCGTACGACAAAGAAAGTGTAACTCACTACACTCGGCTGGGTGACGCACTAAAGGATAAAAATGAGGTAAATCACGTTTACACTGTATGGCTATTGACAATTGTAAACTGGAGTAGATATCTCATTTACCTGGATCAGCTGTTTTTCTGTTTTAAATTTAAATGATATATCGTTAAACGAGCTACTCACAGAAAGTAATACGGTTGTATCAATAGTAAAAGGTAATACATTACATTTCTTTTTCACCACACTACGTTAAACGGTGTGCACATACGTTAACTGGTGGCTGAAAGTTACGTTTTGCTGGTTATGCCAGCTTTCATCGTCATTTGGGGACCGAGCAGGTTTTTACAGCCCTAGGACCGCAAAATCAGCTGCCCGCTTACACAATCAGTATCCATAGCATTGCAATGGAATTGTTTTATTGTCACCGCTGCCTAGCAACTATTTATTATTATTTTTGCTGATTACTCAAATTGCTTCTTAGCATAACCTTAAAGTTGTAGTTATGTTGACTATCAGTGTGCATTATTATTGTGGTGAATAGTGGTAATAGGGTAGGTGAAAAATTGCGTTCGTACCACTGACCGAAATGGTTTGCAGCTCTCGATAGTTTTAATTATCTCGAGCCGGCAAAACCTCATATTCGGCCCTAGGTACGAAATATACTATTACCTCCCTTAGTCGACAACACTAAGTTAGTTTATGTAGCATAACTATTATACAGCCTATATAAAGGCAAATTTATAGTTTTACTTGGTTGAAAAATGATTATTTGACAGCAGTTATGTTACTTAATCTCACAAAGTTTGAATTGTAAAAAAGTTTGAACGGATGCTGTTGCTGGGAATAAAGATCAAACAGTCGATGTACTTCTGTTGCTGCATATCAAACAGTAATAACTAAGTTATTCTACAGTTCAACTCGAGAAATCCTTAAATGATTTCTCGAATGAGGCGATTGCACTTTGCACTCGAGTTACACATTATATTTTTCCTACAGTTACCATAAAACAAATAAATTGGTAAAGAAACGTGCCTACACGTTGCAAATGTTAGTATTGTCTCACTGATGAGCGAATTGGCCACTTTCGTGCCTTCACGTTGCAAATCTGGAGTGAGACAAAGTAATTAGAGTGAGAAAATGTTAACTTTGTCTCACCGATGAGCAAATTGGCCACTTTGCTTTCTCAAATCAGTGAGAGAACATGTACATTGTTAGGTAACTGTAGGAAAAAATTTAAAATTGTTAATTCAAGTATTTATTACCATCTAATTAAAAGTATTCTGATCAATGTGCTACTTTGCTTGGCACTCCAATAGATGTATACATAGATAAAATATACTCCATTAGTACATTTATCATGCTTATGGGCCAGCTGAAAATTTTATTGTTCGGTCCGGTGCACTGTAGAGGTCGTGTGTTGTTTACAATTTGATTCTTGTTATTTCATTAATTTAAAAACCTCGATTAACCAAAAGAAACTATATAGTCTTACAAGAACTCTTTATCTAAAAGCAAAAAAAAGCACAAATCATGAAATTATCACTAAAATAATATAAACAAAATTTCATTTCCAGCGTATAGTGTCACTGGACAAGATCAACACGAAAAGTGAGTTTTAAAATTTACAGTGGAATGAGGGGTCTACTTTTGTTGGTTTTCATTCTAAAATGTGTTATATTTGACTGCTGTCTATGATGTATACCACTAGTGAGGTGACTTTTAGACTACCATAGTGAGGAATTATTTATGCATTGAACTATCAATTTTGTTTTGAAGCCGTTCCAAGGGGAAGAGTTCGAACAACGACTACCGGTACCCTACAGAAGTTGGAGCCAGAAAGGACACAGGACCGGTGTTCTGTCGTGTATGGACGTGCACAAGATCAAGTATCGCTACTGCGGAGCTCCAGACTTCTGTGATTTACAACCGAAAATGTGTAAGGACATTGATGAAGAGGAGGTTAAGTTGGGCTGCAAATACATTTATGCAGACATAGCCAAACACAAGCTCTCTGGTTAATGGACGGCTGCTCTCTAGTGGTTGTAATAATTGAATAGCTACATTCCATCCCCATGTTAAATTTGTAGCCAGCTTTTTATCAAAATCGTAGTTGATGTGAGCCACCTACAGATTGCGCTGATCTAAATTACTAAACTCTGCCAAATACACAAAATGTTTAACCAAGTCAAACTTAGGGAATGACTTATGATGAGTTATAGCAACTGTTATGACCCATCAACCTGGTCAGCAACAAAAATTAAGGTATAAAATAGAATTTTAGGCACTAGAGCATTCTGTGACTGGCTCATACAACTACATTCTCTTTTAATAAAAAATTGGCTACAGCTGGTCCATATAGATGGGAGGTCTAGATATTAGTTAATGAAGTAGATATCTCATAGTATGGACCATACTGTGACCTGCTCGTTTTACACTCAATTGGAAGCTTAACTTATATTTAAATCTATACTTCGTTGCATTGAAGCTGAAATTGTATGAAATGATTTATAAAATAGAACAATGGAAATGAAACGATGTAAGACGGGTTCACACAAAGTAGTGAAACCTGTCATTTAACCTTTGCCATAATATAACATTGTTAGATAACTTTTCCTATAAAATTGCTGTATAACTTTTTCCTTCTGACCATCATTGTACTATATCCATACAATATTGTAACAGGAGCTTTAATCGGAAATCCTCCTACATAATTAAATGTCTTGATAGTGTCTGAAACGAAGACGTGTAAAATAATATTCAAATTGACAGAAAATAGAAAATTTTGTATTAACCTATAAACTTTGAGCAGGCACTCAAAGAACGTCACCTACAAAAACCAAGGAAACATTAAAAATTTTTAAGCGTTAAATACTTATGTTGTTGATAAAATTAAAATAATCACGAGAGGAAACAAAAAACATAATTCAGGAATATTATATTTTACCATCCGAAAGGGATATATCAAACAATACTTTTATTTTCATTTAGTTAATTGCTTAGAACAGTGATTAATATGCTAAGGATTATTGGATATTTTTGCCCAAAGAAGGATTTACTTACACAGGAACGGTTGTAGATTATGTTCAACAGAATTTAAATTAGCAAGCCTTTGTAAACTATCTACAGGAGATGTAGAGTCAGCCTCTTTGGACCGTGGCCAATGTCGAAAGAGAGCATATTGAATAGGTTGTTAACGATGATCCGTAATATAATACGCTCAAACAATGATAGTTAATTATAAACTAGTATTAATAATAATTGTGCAAGGTGTAATATGTGTGTATGATATACACTCCAGTGGTTGTAATGGTTGTATGACAAGTACAACTTAAATTGAAATTCATAGAATGTATTTTGTTATCTTTGTTATGTTGTCATCTTTGTTGTCTTTATGCAAGTTATTACAAACTTAACTGTAACTTTTAAGTTAAAATCTCTGTACATAGTGTGGATCAAGAAAAACTTTAAATTATTTCTTGCCTCAAAAATAATAGTAAAAATAGCTGAAGTAAGATGTGCCTAACGAGAAATATGATGGCAGATCCTAATTTCCGGGCTGAGAGTACAAGATCCCTTATTATCTTGGATTGCCATCAGTTACTAAACCAACCTTCATTGCTAGGTTTATTTTGAATGTATGATAAGTTAAATATTTTCTAAAGGCCTATTTATTTGAATTTTAAATGGGCCACACTATTGGCCTTTAAGAGTTGCAATTATTGTTTTAAAAATCTAAATCACTTTTCTATAAAACATCTATGTTAAAACCGAGTCAACACTCACACAAAGAAGAACTAACTTTAGTTGTTAATGTTTACAGACTTAAATTTGTGTATATCTTTTTGTTCTCTCCCATTCGATATACCAGTATTTGAGTTCGTTTTACCATTGATGCTTTGACCTAATACATCTGCGTTTGTGTTTGAATCAGTCAGACATGTGTCTGTATTTGTGTAAAAAAGAGATCATTCAATTGAACTAAATATTTTACCTTCAAAATTTTAAACAGAGGTAGTATAGCCAATTTGCTGTTACTTAACCTACAAAGATTGATTGTTCCATAATTTTTTTTGTAAAAAAATTAATAACTAAAAGGATGAGAAAACTCAACAGAATATAAACGAGCAAAGTAATTATTTCGTAATATTTTTATGAGTATTATTTGACTAATATTGGTTTTATATTACCTGTTTTCAGTTCAAAATTGTAACTTTTGTACATGCTACATGTTTCGGCGAGCTGCCATTGTCAAGCATACAGTCCAGGAATGTACATTTAAAAATCCGCTTGTATAGCTTCGTTGTTGGTTTACACACATGACACTTAAATAAATCATTCATTTGGTTGGAGAGGACTATCATGGGAACGAAACATTGCCGTTATACGACCTGGAGGGTCTGTTCCTATATACGTTCTATCGTAATGTTTTATCATAATGCAATGTTCACCAGGACCATGTTAGCTTTTGCTATCCGTGGTGTATTACTCCTCTTTTGGCAAAACATAATGATATGCCTCTTTATCTGATGTAGTGTGTGCTGCAGGTTCTTCTTAAGTGACATTAAATAAAAGACACTTTGATTTGTTTAACAATTTGATATCAACTCTAAGCTGTACAGAGCTAAACATCAGACATATGAACACTTGGTCGTAAACTTGAAGCTACAAAATTCCATAAAATCGGTTTCTATAGACGTACTATGACGTAACGCTTCTGTAACTTCAGCGGTTTTCATCAATAACGAAGTTAATTTGAGAGTAACTTTGAGTTGATTTGATCCGTAAACTATTGAATATCTACTTATATCCTTAATAATGTTGAATGTAAATGTTCACTTGAGAGGATTCTAACTTACCGAGGAGGAACTGAACTAAACATAACTTGTGTGTTTATTTGTGATGCCCAATAATTGACATGCAAGGTGGGCAGTATTTTTTTGACTCAAACTATGATTTAGCAAACGTAGAACCATTTAACTCTCAATGAATAGTGTATAAGCTTACAGTCCTAGACTTATATATTTCGTTTCATAAATCGTTACAAAA